GTGGAGCTCCAACAGGTATCACAGAAGGCATTTCATCATAGTTCAGAGAACACATTTTCCTTACATCTTTTTACAACCACTGGCAAGCTGCCCATCTTGATCACATACCCCTAAGGCATAGTGCTTAGGAACAGTAATAGGTATCCCCACCTAGTGCTCCAGCATTCTTCCAACACACCTTTCACTAGATTTTCAGTCCCCAGCAGAGATTAGTTTGGAGGTGGGTGGGTGTTGTTTGTTTTTTTGTTAATTTTACTTTTAAATCAGCAACCCAATAGTGCAAGTAGAAAAGCTACCTTACCAAGAAGGCATCACATTCTGAAGGTAAACAGCTGCAACTGCTCAAGCCATGTTGTGCAAGAAACATGCCACTATCATACCTCACACCAAAAGGAGTTCTCCACTTAATCATCAAAATCACAAAGCCCCAGCCACTTGCATAGTAAATTTCACTGGTCTTAAACCTCTGCAGTTTTCATTACATCTTTGAAAAGTCCTACCAAAAGCCTTCCTGGCTAGGCAAAATATGACAGGCTGCCCTTCATTCTCAGAAAACCTGGACATTCCTCATCTTTTCCCCCTTTTTCTACAATTCCACATGGTATTTCAAGATCTTTAAGGCAAAAGCAGTTTCAGCAACTGATTAGTAGTTTACAAGTAACAGACATTGCAACAGGTAACATGAATTAGCACTGAAGTTGTAAATATTAAGCAAACAGCTACAGTTTTAGCTGTTATTGACTCATTTAACTCCCCATACCTGTTTGTCACCTCCCCTCTGGCAGAGGTCCCTGACTTATCAGCAAAGCTGGGAGAACAGAATTTGAGTAACCCTCAGCCTCTTCAAATTGAAGTTCAGTGGTCTCCATCAAGCTACTGCCTCAGGTCATTTGGCTGTCATTGGACTTCAATGAAGCAACTGATGATCACTCCAAAGTCCTGCTCTCTCTCCCCTGCTACCTGACTGTAACTTTTGTCAGAAGGGCAGTAAACTCTTAAACCGCTGCATCTGTTTGCCAAATGAGTGACTCAGACCTCAAGTTGCAGGTGAGGAAAATCAAGGGTTTGTAACAGTGTGGTTCAGCATACATCAGGCCACTGTTTAAACACCTATTCATTCTGGTACCTGGTTGGCACAGGCCCCTGGCAGGTATGTAGCCCATCAAGACTGCATAGCCAGTGTGGCTGAGGTAGCACCTCACACTGGCCTTGACTCTGCTAGGAAAAATGGGAAGCATAGCTGTGCCAGTGCAACAACAAATAAATATAGCAAATTTTAGCTCACATTCTCCACAAATAACAAGAGCAATAACCCACAGTCATGCCACTGTTGGAATTTCATCAGAGGAAATTCAGTTTCAAACAAAATAAAGCACTAAGGTTGTTCTGGAACAGAGTAAAAAGCAATGCAAAATACCACAGTCCCCCACACTGTACAGAACAACACACGATCAAAAATAGAGCTTAATTATAAATAAACACCCTCACAGCAGCCTTTTAAACTACAAACCTTAATCACTGTGAGGGAGACAGCTGTTCTAAGCAAGACCGGGGTGGGGAATCTCTCTTTTAAAGCCACAATTTTATTTTAATAAAAACGCTCATTCTAACACCAAAACTTCAGTGGGGAGAATTTTACAGATTATTATCCCTGAAAGCAGCTCTATGTTTTTCTGTGTACAACAAAGCAGTCTCCACTCCTACTCTCAGTCTACGTAAAAGGCAGATAATTTCAGTTTTTCTCACTATTGTTTTTCAAAGTCAGGAGGAAATGCCAAATGGAGAGCAGCGCTAATCTACAGTCAAGAATGCAGAAATGTTGACCAAGTGACTATCTACAGAGCAAACAGTACATTCCCATGACCAAGGCAGACTTGCCCAGACTTTAATGACAGGGTGTTTTTTTTCCTTGTAAAGATCTGGGGAAAACAGTGTCACTTGGTTGAGACTTTTCTCATTGATAACACATTTGGATGAGTCCTCCTATCTATTATTCATGGACTTTCAGGCTACCTTAGACATAGTGTACGACCCAGCCTGCCTCACTGAGCCAGGCCATTCATAAAATTAGTTCTTTTCTACACTATAATGTGGGGTGCAGTTGTAACCTCTATAAAGTTCTGCTTGTATACATAACCGTTTATAATTGGATATTAATTTGATACAGCTTAAATTCTTATAAGCTTCAGTCTGTGAATGGCTTACATCACAAGTCATGAAATATTCTACGTAGCTTTTTCACATAGGTCTATGATACACACACATTCCCATTCAAACAGTGAATGCTGTTTAAGGCTGAAAAGTGCTGAACAGCAATAAAAGTGACCCCAAACTGGGACATTCTTCAAAATATTTTTCATAACTGGACTGCAGTGTGTAGCAGTGATTTCACTGCCACCTGGCTGCATTTAAAAGATGTAGCATAACAAAGAGACAATCACATATACTTTAAAAAAAAAAAAGTCACAACCGTTCTTTGACAAAATTTGGACTAGCAAACACAACTCCAACAGTCTGCAGCTATTTTGCACAAAGAAAAATACATTCATTTGAGCACTGAAGCACAAGTTTTGCAACCACGACTCCAATGGGCACCCTTGTCAGCCCACGGCAGAGAACTACGGGGTAATTTCGGGAAGTCTTTCATAGACGAGATGGCAAAAGAGGGCTGTAAATAGCAAAATCAAAGATGGTGACATCATAGAAGTATCCTGCTCCGACTGAGGAGAACAAGACAGGTGGCGCATTGAGAGGTTTTCCCTGCCTACAGCCCCGACAAGGAGGGGAAGCAGTCCTTTTCCTTTCATAAGGCAATCGCTTCCGTCTCACTGCCTGACAGCTCCTGAAGGAGGATGCAGGCTGCTCTGGGGAGGACCACGGCACGGCT